TATATTATTTAGATTTGTTCAATGAAGATCTCATGAAAGTGACGGATGTTTGATTTGCTGTGGGCAGATGTTCTCAAGATCTGGCAGTATATCGTAATTCTGTGTCCTGTCAAGGTCAGGAAAATATTGTTAATTAGTATAATCACACTGTGTTTAACTTCTTTCTGATTATTTTCGAAGACATCAACCTCATGTGATTACAAGCTTCTAACGAACGATGTGAGTACCGATGAACATGGAACATATTTCCCATTATTTACTTTAAGACCCTGAGGAAAACTATGAATGTTCTCAATCAGAATTCCTATTCGTCGGTGGGGGGAGTATAAGTAGCCCAATAGTAAAAGAAAATGTACAATATACATAATTTTACTCGACGACAAAAGTAATAGAAGAACTTCAATTTATAAATATTTAATTCTGATATTAATTAGAAATTTTAAACAAAATAATATGTCGATAATTTTCTTTTATCTATAATACAAAATTAACAAGAATAACGCCGACTCAAAAGAAAACCCCACACTATACGACATACACAATTACGCCAGAAAAATAATCAGAAGACTTACACATTTTATATGTATTATGCTAACTGGAATTTTATTTTAAACGAAATGTATAATTTAAATTTAACAGTTAAAATTGTAACGCAAACCGAAAGAAAATTTATAGATCACCGATATGGCTCTATGCCGGTGAATAATCCAATAACGAGTGACTTATTCATGCAATAATTGCCTTATGATTACCCGACAAAATCGAAACATGCAACAATACTTCCACGCAATAAACGAATACTAATAGAGTAGTATTTATTTGTTTATTATAGGACTGTTGTGTTGGATGATACATAAAGAATATCATAGGAAAGAATTCAACTGCGTTAATCGTGAAGGATGGAAATCCATGAAAATTTATCTTTCCTTTTATGAATTCTCTTGTGCAGTGGTTAGATCTCAGGCTAATTCTTTTTTATTTTTAGTTGAAAATTTAACGACGCTGCCGCTATCAAGTAGCTGGCATAGAATAACAGGGTGATGGACGAATGCGGAGTGGTTAGTAGAATGAGCATTAGCATGGGAAACCGAAGCGTTCATAGAAAATTCATCGCATTGTAACTTTGTTCATCACACATCACACACGACTACAGTATGGCCCAGATTATAAAAATTATAATAATAATACTGGAGGTCATATGCATATACGTACAATAAGCATAAAACAGAGAAGCCCAAAAATATAGCGGCGGAAGGGTGTGTGTATATTTTGGGCCCATATATATATACCTACATCAGGACGTTTGTTGTCTCATTATTATTGTTGCCTAAAATCTACACATCATTCCCTTATAAGATAGGGTAATTCGAAATGTCGGCACAGTTCTTGATTCATGTAAGCTACCTGTGAAGTTCCACGAAATGCTGTTCAAAAGCCCCTTTTCCCCAGTTCAGTATTTTTTCAACTTTTTAGAGTATTTCAGTCTGATATATCGACTCTGTGATGAAAACGAAGAACGCAATTGCAGGCAAACAGGTAAGAAACTGTTACGGAATAAGACAATCTCCCATTATTTTGCTCCACGTTACTGGTAGAGAAGAGCCATTCGTAGGAGTAGTCAGGAGTTTATTGCATCACAGTGTTCAACTTAATTTTTACTTCTACAGGGATGGTCTATTTTCCGAGACCAAGAGCAGTCGGGGAGTGACACATAAGAGTTAATTTCAATCTTGCTTCGAAATCGAGAATGTGTGGAAATTTCTGCGTAGGACGACGAGAAGTCGTTGATGGATGCAACATTTCCGCGCAGTGCTGGCGTCAAAGGAGATTTTCCTTTATATAATTTTTCTGCTCCTAAAATCCAGCAGTAGTTTTTGCTGAATACATTTCATCACTAATTCCGGAAATGTTAGAAAAAAGTACATCTGTAATTGATTCCACATATTGCATTAACAGAACAATTTTATGTTCAGGAAATAATTACGTAGTTCATATCAGTGAAGGAATTCTTAACAGTCTTGAGTGACAAATTGAAATAAATGTAGACCTCATTCTATATAGGCTTTCTGTGAACACGCAACACGCTTGAAATTAACACGAGGCATATACGGATAGACTTTATTCAGACATGTCTTATGCTATTCATGGAAATATGAATTAAAACAGGCTTATAGATACATTGCCGTACTTATAAAGTATCCACTGGGGTTATCCAACTGGTTTCAGATTAGAACTCTCGACACGATTTAAATGAATTGGTCTGAATGGACATTTTCTACGTGCATGTGTTGAAAAGGAAAGATGTTTTCTAAATCATCATAAAGTACATATGATTTGTGGCTGTCACAGCAGTGGTTATGAACAATTTAATCTTCTGGGGTATAACGACTCATATTCCGGTGAAATTAAGCAGATATTTCGGAGGAGTTTGTCGCTTCCATCTTCGGAGCTGAACAGTAGTTCTACTTACTGTCTGCTTCATGATGTCTTTTTCTTGGCTTACCTTTCAACCCTGATGGTGTAGGCGACTTATTCCTCTAAACGTCAGTTGACTTTCACGGGATTACACAGAGCTCTAACACGGAAGATATAGCTCCTCAAAAATAATGTTTTTTCCTCTCCGAAAAATTTGTAACAAGTTCCTTTCGAGATGCACATAGAAAAGCATAAAGATCTTCATGTTATGTGTACCATTTATTGTTGCCCGACTTTAACCGAAAATGTAATGATTCCATAAATTTTAGTAAAGTTTCCCATTATCATATTTCCTGAAAATTCTTTGAATTGTCGAATTGTTATATATAGACAAACAGGTCATATGTGGCAGTTATGAAGAAAATAGAACAATGAAACATTGAATCGTTCCGAACATATACTATTCTAACGTACCCAGTACAACGAACCTGGTCACTGATTTGTTTTTATAACCCTCTCTATGAAGAAAGCAGTTTTCTGGGATTTGACACTGTGTATATGTGGTGTTACAGTCTGTTTTCACAGTCTGCCTTTACCGGTTCTCACGGTCTCTTCGCTTGCAGATTTCTTATATTTTTTTCTACCCTGAATATGGAGGCGATACGTTCCTCCGAAACGTCGGTTAACACCACATATACACGGTGCCAAATCCCAGAAAACCGCCTTCTTCATAGTCACCGCTGTGAAAGCCTCAAATCTTACATAACCCTCTCTAATTGAAACGGCAGAACTGATTAACGTGTTTAAAAGATATAGCCCCTGTCCTTATTTATTCTACACTATAATGCTACATACTCTTTACTTTATAGTCCGCATACAAGACATTCCCTATAACAGGGCCTGCTGTGGCAGGGCAAGAACAGAGTTGCAGCTGTCTGCGTTGAATTAAAAGAAAAGAACCTGGCAGGCTGTCCAGCCAGTTGCCTGGAACGCGCTCTCGGGAGTGGTTGGTATCTGTTTAGCGGCCGGTAAGTGACTGAATTGTTGTCATATTTACGAATTTGAAGTAAAATAAATTTCCCTAGACATGATAGCTTTTCGGTATTTATTTTTAATAAATTAGCTACGGCTTCTTAATTGTTCCCCTGATCCTCGCAGCGCAGAGGTGAAGAAACAATAAAGATGGCTTCTTCTTCTGGAAATTGCAGATTTCGAACTGTAAAGAAAATTTAAGAAAACGGCCGTGGCGCGATTTGAAGTGTTACATTTCGAATTTTCCTGAGGGAATAAGAAAAGAAATGAAAAGCCTCAGGACAAGCAGTCTCCGTGCCGATATTCAAACCTAGGACCTCCTGAATAATAAGGAGTACTGTTCGACCACGAAGTTATTTTCCATTTGTTTTAGGATACTGTGGATAACTATAAATTAGCAATTGTCATGGTACAGCTAGGTGCATTTTTTCCGATACTATAAATGTACGGCAACGGAAGTTATCATATATCGCCTCAACGTTTACGCTATCAAAATCTTTCCAACCTCTATTGAACACACACTCACACAAACGTCACAAGATGCTTAATGATATTTTGTAATCACAGTATCTCAAAAGACTTCATATCCATAACTACGCGTATATTGAATAGTCTCAGAGGGGAAATATAGACGCAGTTTCCTCGGTTTACGAACACTCGTTTCGGTGCGTAACTCACACCTAGAATTTCGGCGCAACAAGTAACGCAATTGACTGTTGCATACATTAAGAGGATCTCGGGATTATAACTGATCTACGCATATTGTACAAGCTCGCTTCATGGTAGACGCTCGACGATTTACTGGGGACTATTCTTAACAGTAATTGCTATGTATGTATGTATGTATGTATGTATGTATGTAAGCTGCTGTCCTGCCCACTACGCCACGAGTCCGAATGCTGCAGCAACCAACTAAGCCTAAGAGATTTTGCGTGTCTCACTACGTCTTCTCCTTGAAGTAAACTGTTAATTTCTGAGTTGAACCCAACTCTCCAAACACCCTGTTCACAAACAGGACCATAGATTTGACTTATAATTTTCCTTTCAAATATTCGAAGAGCATTTTGATCAGAAATGTTAAATGTCCAAGTTTCAGCAGCAAAGGTAATTACAGGTCTTATTAATGTTCTGTAGAATTTCAATTTAGTTGATCTTACAGTTCTGTGTACCTTTTATGCTGTTTGCGAAAATGAAAACAGAATTTTTCTATCTCCCAATTTTTTGTGTGACTCAAGAATTAGGTTATTTAGGGATTATCTTATATTAGGAAGGAGAGGGGCCTGTCACGTGCTGCCCCCCTTCTTTGTGAGGGTCTGCTCATAACTGTTTGGATGTTCATGTTTAAGACATGCCCATACTTGTTAAATTTCATCACACAGATTAAGTGTTGACTTTCATTTGTCAGATATTCACCTGATGAAAGTCAGCGAACCTCATGCATTTTATTAGTAGTTTTTCTTATTTCTTAGGAACATCAGCCATCTTGTTCATCGACAGAGCCTTATTTAATATCTCAAACAGACATAAGTGAGTTCATCCGTGATCCGAACTTGTCAAAAATAAATCTGAAGTTTTAACTTTCAGACTGAGAGGTTGCGATCTTGTAGAGAAAGTCTTTTTATTCCGCAAACTTTAAAATGACTTCATATTTTTCTCAGTAAAGCAATTGGATGTACTGTAATAATCTGTACTCTCTCACAGAAGCCGGTGGCCAACAGCATGATCTAAGCAAATGGCGCATAATTACCGATTCCTGGAAGCTGAGTCCAGTTCCATTAGAACAGGTCGTTCATACGAAGAAATGAAACAACAGTGTTCACCATCATGCGGAGCATATCCAATAAGATGTGATAAGATGCTGTCACGTCATATTAAACTTTTTTTAATGCTAGTGGGGTGGGACTAAGACCCTTGTACTGCGGCCACTTCTGACCTATTGTACCAGCCCCAGATGATAGGTGAGAGTGATTGTGGAGCAATTAGTGGAATGAAGATTGGCAGGGGAAACCGAAGTACTTGGAGAAAACCTGCCCCAGCTCCACTTGACCAGACCCGGGATCGAACCCGGGCATCCGCGGTGGGAAGCCAGCGACTAACCGCTTGAGCTATGGCGCGGCCTCATATTAAATTTGGTTTAAAGACAAAATTTGATATGGTGATGTATCGAAATGCCGGTCACGGTAGCCGAGCGGACTAAGGCATGCACTGTCTTCGCTCGCTTGGAAGCCGGGATCGTGGGTTCGAATCCCACTCAGGGCATGGATTTGTGTGTGTGCGTTTTTCTGTTTCTTGCGACGCGCTGATCATCCGCCCAAGGAGTCCTACCGTATGTGTAAGATCTAGAAAAGCCGAAGTGAACGGAGAAGTTCATGGAGGTAGGCCTAGGCCCACTGGGGCCGTAGTGCCAAGGAAAAAAAAATGTCTCGAAATGGCATTTGGTTTCTCTATATAAACAAATTTTCGAGGATCGGTGGGGCTAAATCATGGGAAAGATACCTGTAGGTCCTCAAATTAGAGAAATCATGAGAGAGTTTTGATGAAATAAAGCAAGGTCATCCGTGGACTTAATTAGTTAAACACCGTATCATGAAGCTGTATAGGGGAGATTCATTATAGCTTCACCATTCTTGACCTCAGTACTAGATTGAGGTGAGTAGTCAGCTTCACGATCCTGCCGTTTTAAACCTGGAAAAACACCTCCCGGTACCCATTGGATAGGAGGTTGGTTTGACCCGAAGTTAATTTAAAAGTGGCGCTTTGAGATCATCTGAAATGTTGAGCACTAATTTCTTCGTCGAATTCCAAGCATAGAGTTGCTCGAACTCCTCAATGCCTGCGAGTTCATGGGATGAAAAATCTTATTAATTTTTTTTCTGCTTCTCATCTACTTCCCAACAAACTTGCGGGCTGGTAATGATAAAGCTAAAGAAAGATTTTAAATACTCACGACGAAGAAGCGATCCTAAGACGGGTGCAGCACAAGCATATTAGCTGGACATTAGTAAGAGATGCCTCAGAGGTAATATAAGAGCGTAAATCATCAACGGCTACACATTACGTAATATAAATTTGCAATTTATTTGTTAACATTGTTACTGTGTCATTAAATTGGCGCAGATTTCATTTTCGATTCACACAAAACTGATGGATGGTATGTAGCAATATTTTTAGGCCATTTTTAACCAAGCGTTTATAGCTTGTAAGACTCAACCATTTATGTATATGTGACAGAGAAATTTCTTTGCTTTTTGTCATCTAGTGTTATTACAGGATTGCCAAAATATGCAGGTGCTATGGGGTGTAAGTGACATGGAATATAAAGATGTAAATACGTACAAGAATAGATGCTCTGCAAACGTTAAAATAATATATGAGTGTACGGCAGGTAGTATACCCAAACCCACTGACTAGAGTCATCATTTCCCAGGCGTCTACGCAGTTCTGGAAGGAGCTGCATAAATAAAGACTGATATTTGTTCATCTGATCATGGAATTCCCAAAATGATGATCAAGTATTTTTTCTCGAGATTGCAAATCTCTTAGCCACTGTGTACCATTTGGTAACATGTAGGTTGAAGAACTATTTTAGAAGGGATATCAAATGATAGTAGCTGCTGTAGTAACGAAACGTCCATCTCTGTTTTGAGTGCTATTTCCTGGAATGTGATGCTGTCAAAATCCGGTTTTATTCCCAAACTTCGTGAATTTCTACGGGAATACACATCCTGACACCCCAAAAGACAATAGTGTTCTTCATAAACACCGCTGAGAGAACCTCGAATCCGATATAACTGTATTCTTGTGTAAGCAATTTTGTTTACAGTCAATTCTGATAGAGCCAGATGCCTACTGCACAACATGGTAAAGCATTCTGCAAATGTTTTTGTCACTGAAAAGTGCTATCTTCAGGGATAAAACGCCATGTAGCCCGTTGAAAGTTAACCTACGTTTAGAGGAACATACCGCCTGCTTTCACGCAGATGTCTTGCTTTGCTTATTCTATCCTGAAGATGGAGGTGATATATTCTCCCGAAAGGTCGGTTCACTTTCAACGGACTACACGGTGTTGTATCCTAGGAGACAGTACTCTTCATAAGCACCGCTGTGACAACATCAAATCCTACGTTTTTGTCAATATTAATCTCGATTTCGAATTGCAGAAATTGTATAGTGTACGGAGTATACCATGTGCAGTATTCGTTGTATGTATTGGTCAATCGTGACGGCAAAAGTACGGTATTTACCTTGCAGTGTAACTATGTGCATATGGGAGAGGTGGAGGAGGGCTCCTGGTCGTTAGGTTACTTACTTACTTACTTATGGAGCTGAGCCCTTCTTGAGGAGAAGCCAAAACTGTAGCTACTCAAGAAATTCCCAGCATTTTATGGAACCCGAAGGTTCATTACCGTGTTCACAAGAGTCCTTCACTGCTTCCTATCCTGAGCCAGATCAATCTAATCCATGCCATCCCATCCTATGTCTCTAAGATCCATTTTAATATTGTTCACCCACCTACTCCTTGGTCTTCCCAGTGGTCTCTTTCCTTCTGGCTTTCCCACCAATATAATATATGCATTCCTTTTCTCCTCCATTCGTGCTACATGCCCTGCACACCTCATTCTCCTTCAGTTGATCATTCTAATTGAGCTTGGAGAAGAGTACAAGTTATGAAGCTCCTCATTATGCAGTTTTCTCCAACATCGTGTCACTTCATCCCTCTTCGGTCCAAATATTCTCCTCAGCGCCCTGTTCTCAAACACCCTCAGTCTATGTTCCTCCCACTAACTTCGCCGAGCAGCGGCGATCGCTCGGTCGGTATAGTTCGCTTGCGGACTCAAGCCACGGAGTTTTTTTTGGAGTGCTATTAATACCCATGTTATTAGAATCAGCCAGTTGTGTCAGAAGCTACTAGTTGGAGACCCTGCTACCCGACTCCATATTACAAAGAGAGGCATAAGCGGGCGTGTTACTACATGCTTATTTCCGCTAGGAAGGT